AGAAATTAGATTACCAATCTCAACAGAACTATGTATACATTAAATATAAATAGATATTGTGTGAGTAACTGACTCTCTGGGAAAGTATATAAATTTTGCTGCAGTACAGTGTTATGGCTGGGGGCTCAGAACCTTTCTGCTGTGCTCCTGTGCCAGGTGCAGGGACGTACCGCTCTCTCCCATGGCAGGATGGGGGCGCTGCACAGAAGTGACTTTGAGGTTCGTAATTTCTGAGTCAATGAATTTATACTAAAGGAAGAACTCTCAAAAATCTGGTTTCTAATACCCCTTGGAATATTTTAGAATCCCAAATGCCACTTAAGAAGTACTGACAGAATAAAGTGGCTCATATGTGAGCCACAGGGAAGAATAAGTAAGGTACAACCTCCTATAACACCTAAAGAAAAACACCCCATGATTTACGTGAGTTTAACTACTACTATAAAGGCATTTCAATTCTTGTCACATAGGTGCTATTACGTGGTATTCAGATGCTCCCTGGAAACTGTATGTCTGATGGGCAGAGACAGAAAGACAGAATGTAAAACATACATACTCAACAGGGGCAAAAATTGGTTCTCAGGAGGTGGCGATCTTATTTTATGTGTAGAGCACATACCTCTGTATGTATACATACATATACACAGTAGATAAACATAGGTACAGCATATATGTGGTATTAAAATTTCATAGGGAGTGATATTAGGAAAAAATGTTCAAATATGTTAAATGACTAAATGTTAAATGTTAAATGTTCAAAAATGTTAAAAGACTACTGGGGTGAGAGCACAATATGAAGAAAAGGTTGAGAAGCATTGTAGTGAGACATGAAATGTGAGACTTGAAACCTGTGATGAAGGACCGGGTGCTGGCCGACACAGGCAAGAGAAGCAGAGCCTACAAGCACCATATTTGTGTGTTCACCAGCCAGCCCTGTTGTCCTCTCTAGCATTTTTTCATACACACCCACACAGCACCTCTCATTCCAGGAAAACCACCTGCATTTCTCTGAGGTGACACTCTGTTTCTTGAAGCTGAGCCTTTGTGCATATTGGTCTTTTGATTCTCTTCTCTCCCTCTTTACCTGGTAACTCACCCATCAGTGCCCAACTCAAGCATCGTCACATCTAGGAAGCTTACCAGATACGTGCAAAATAACAAAGTAAAGAAAGCAGGATGCTTTGATAACAGGCATTTTCTGCTATTTAAAGATACTGATTTTGAACAGAGACCCAAACAAAATGAATGTTTGTTGGAAAAGTGTTCCAGGTAGAAAAAAATACAAAAGGCCCTAGAATAAGGTCATTTTGTTCAAGGTCATTTTATTATAACACTGATGAGAAAAAGTACTTCCAGCTGCCACTGAACAAAATGACATCATTCGTGGAATTGCCTTCATTATACATTATTTGGCATACACTCATGAAAGGGTTCCATGTGGCAGAAGCCAGCCATAGAGAAGAGAAGCCACAGAAAATTAGGTTGGAGAGGTAATGAGGAGTCATATTACATAGGGCGTGTTAGTATTAGGACTTTTGCATTTTCTACCAAATATGTTGAAAAGTGATTGAAGCATTAACAGCAGGGCTATCATGAACTAATTTATCAATGTAAAAGCTTCCCATTGACTGCTGTTTGGAGAATGGACAGTGGGGGCACAAAAATCAAAGCAGGAGGCCAGTCAGAAAGCTAACAGGATAGGGCCTCCCCTGGTGGCGCAGGTGGTAGAGCGCCACGCTGTGAAGCTGTCCACAGCCTCTGCAGCACTGGCCGGCAAGGGTCCAACATGGCGCGGCAGACCTCTCCTGTCACGCCCACTGCTCCCCTCAGCAGTATGTTTCAGTTCATCTGCCTGTTCTTCTCCCCACTCTGTCTCTGGTGAATCCTCTCACCCTCCCACACATCTGGCCAGTACCCCGGTTCTTTTATAAAATAAATACATAAATCTTAAAAACAAAAAGAAAGCTAACAGGATAATGCAATGGAAATAATGGTCACTTGGATTAGCACATTAGTAACTAAGAAGGTGAGGAATCACCTAAAATGATATGTTCCTCCATTCACATGGACATATGGAAAACTTCCCAAACTGCTAGAAACATTTTCTAACTACCACAGGTTGATCAGGACTCCTTCCCTCAGGACTCTCATAACTCTTTGCATACTCTTCCTTTTATAATTGCAAATGCTTGCTTACATATCTGTCTTCCATATTACACTACAACCTTTTTAATGGTTATTTTTATGTGTCAACATGATACCAAGTAACTAGATATTTGGGCTAATGTGATGGTATGTGGAAGTGGGATCTTCAGGAGGTGATTAGGTCATAGGAGTAGAGGCCTGCTCTGATCTTAGACCTCCCAGATTCCAGAACTATGAGAAATAAATTGCTTTTGTTTAGAAACTACCAATCTATGGTATTTTGTCATAGCAGCTGAATGGATTAAGACATTTGGTGGGGGCCTCCCCGGTGGCTCAGTGGTTGAGCGCTGGGTTGCAAAGCTGCCTGCAGCCTCTGCACCACCGGTTTGATTCCCGGCCACTGGGCAAGGGTCCCACATGGCGCGCAGACCTCTCCTGCCGCCCGCTGCTCCCCTCTGCAGTGTATTTCGTCAGTCTGCCTGTTCTGCTCTCCGCTCTGGCTCTGGTGAATTCTCTCACCCTTCCGCTCTTCTGACTGTACCCAGTGCTTGTACAAATAAATAAATAAATCTTTAAAAAAAAAAGACATTTGGCAGGCCTCCCTGGTGGTGCAGGGGTTAAAGTCTCAGCGCTATCAAGCTATGCCAGTCACTGCTGCATGTTGGATCCGCAGTCAGGGAGCTAACCCACCTGGCACAGCAGACCTCTCTCCAGTCTGGCCCACTGCTTTCCTCAGCAGTGTATTTCAGTAGACCCACCTGTTGTGCTCCCCACTCTGTCTCTGGTGAATCCTCTCACACACACACACCCACTTCTGGCATAGACCCCAGTTCTTGTACACATAAATAAAAATAAATCTTTAGGGCCTCCCTTGGTGGCGCAGTGGTTGAGCGCTGGGCTGCGAAGCTGCCCGCAGCCTCTGCAGCGCTGGTTCAATCCCCCACCACCTGCGAGGGTCCCACATGGCGCGCAGACCTCTCCTGCCGCCCGCTGCTCCCCTCAGCAGTGTATTTCGCCCATCTGCCTGCTCTGCTTTCCGCTCTGGCTCTGGTGAATTCTCTCACCCTCCCGCGCTTCTGACTGTACCCAGTATTTGCATAAATAAATAAATAAATCTAAAAAAAATAAATAAAAATAAATCTTTAAAAAAAAGACATTTTGACATCTGTAAGGCACATAGTACTAGTAGCTGACACCAACTAGTTTTCACAGTGTGCTAAGCATTTTAGAAGTGTTATTTCATTTGATGCAACAAGGTGATGAGACATGCATTATGTTTTAATATCTTATTTTCAGTGTGGAAAGTGGGACACTGAGTTTTTAAGTATCTTGTTCAAGTCCACAGAGCTAGCTATAGAACCAGCTAGAAAGTAGTTATCACAGTCTTCAAACCCATCCCTGAAAACAGAAACTTCATTTTTAATCATCTTGTTATTCTTTCATAAGAAATGCTTTGCTCTTGAATTTTGGAGTAAGAGGCCAGATTAGTTTGAAATTAGATTGAATGAAATTATCAGTAATTATTTAAATAATTTGTGCAGTCTCCACTGACACATCCCAGTACCTATATGCTGTAATTGTTGTGGTACAAGAGGCTCTGACTTAGCCTTAAACTCTCTGATATGGAGGATCAGAGGAGTATACATCTGGGGTTTGCCACTGTATAGTGGTTGGTTATGTCAGCCCCAGTAGGCCTTCATAATCCTTTGGAGCATAACACACTGTTGATCATTTTTAACTAAAATGATCCATCCTTCATTTATTGATGAAACTGCAGCAGACTTGCTAGGATGATGACAATGATGATAACCATTCTGACTTATTTTCCAAGGCATAGTGAAAAATCAATATTCCTCTACTCAAGTATCTTTTGAAGTGCTCAAAACTTGTGCTCTTAGTAACAGACTAAATATGACGCAGAATCAAGGCACAATGAACCATTAGACACTACCACTGCAAAGCATTTTTAGAACACAATCAAGTGTAAATGGATAAACAAACAAGCAACAAATGAAATACACAACTTTGGCTTGACTCTCACAAGGTGCTGACTAAGCTTAGCAACCATCAACATGAAAGTGCTTTCCTAAGAGAGACACACGGGAAGAACCCCCACTGCATGTATGTTCAGTAAAGTCTGATGATTTTCTAGCAAATAATTCTCTTTCTTCAAGCTGAGAGAATACAATTGAAATTATTCAGCATGATTTTTCCCTTCATTCCTTTCTACGGTGAAAGATGTGCATGTTTCTTGCTTTCAATTCGGTTTTATTTTGCTGACATTGGAGGTGGGCTGCTATAGAAAACTGGACAGAAGAGGGACATTGTGTTTCTCTCTTGGCTTATACACTGTGCTTCACAGACAGTCTTGTTCTCATCACCTCTTTTTCACACCCACTCTTCATTTGTGACTTCAGAGAGCCTGCTGTCTTTGTGTATATCTAATCAATCTTTATTGAATTAATCCCAAACAATGTGGCAAACACGAAAATTACAAAATATTAGCAGGGAGGCTGTGGCTTTCAGGTCTTCAGAATCAGTGGGCTCATTTTTCCAGTCTTTGCCATCTTTCAATACACAGCAAAGTCCCTGATTTTAAAGACAATGCTGCATTTGCAAATCAGAGGATAAAGTTAACTGAGTTATTCTGAAAGTGAAAGAAAGCTCCTTCCCTGAGGTCAATGGCCATGTTTTTTACAGTGTTGCTTTGACAAGTGAAATATTAAGGTACCTCATACTTCAACTTGTAACTTGTTTTTCTAATGGCGAGGATTTTTTTTTTTTTAATGCTAGGGAGACAAAAAGCAGATGTAGAAGCAATAAAATAAAGAACAGAACCTGAGCTGGAAACATACCTACCCATGGAGGGCTGCTCCTGGGTGATGTTGGGACGATGGTGAAAGAAGGAGCTCTCAGCTCCAGCAACCTCCAGTTCATCCTTCACATCCCAGAGATGTCTCCTCCCCATTCCCCAGGAGTTTTTCAGTTTCTCTGCCAAAACCTCCCTACAGAGTGAAGAGAAATCATGATAATGTGTCATATATTGGAAACAGCACTGGATACACAATTAGCTGAGCTCCAGTCCTTCCTACCTCTGCCAGTTACTAGTGTTTTATCTTAGGGCAAATGCTACAATTCTGTCTCCACATCTATACAATGGGGATCTCTTCCCTGTTTACTTCACAAGCTTAACTTTAGGGTCAAGTAAGAAAATGCACTGGTGCAGTCTACAAAATCTAAACTTTGTGCAAATATAAGGCAAGATAATTTCTATTTGCTTATCTTGCACATGGTGCTCCATTGATACTCTGCATGATTACTAAATGGCTGCATTGTCTCATTTGACAAATGTTATCATTCAGAGAGATATTTGCAACTCCACAGGGGTAAATCTGACATAATTGGAAAGGGAAACTTAGCCACTAATGTCATTTTTTTACAATCAGTGGCATAATCATATTGCATAATTAAAATCAATTGTTATTATGGTGTTATTAAACCATGAGACTGGTCCAGCAGCAGCAACCTAAACATTGGAGAGCAATTTGGTCATCCTAATGGGACTCATGTTGTAGTCACTTATGGTTCCATTACCAAACGGTTCTAACCCCTAATGAGTTCAATTACATACCAGAGAGACTGAAAAATAAAACAAAACAATAAATTACTTTCCTAAGATTCCTTTGAAATGGTGGCAGGCCTGGAACTTATTTACCATCAGAACCCACATATTTTGACAACAGAGGTGAGAGCATGCGGTAAATGGACCAGTACCTTGTGGCAAGCACTGTAGTGAAGGCGTCTGGAATTTACCGGTCAGCTATAACAGCACACCTTGATTTGATTGAGTCGAAACTTTGTAATAATTGAGAAATAGCTGCATTTTGCAAAATCTACCTGCAATTGATCGGACTACATCTTCCTCTATTCGGGACAATGGGAACAAAGAGTCAGATATTATAGCAAGTAAGACAATAAAATGACATTTCTGTAAACAAACTGTATGAAAATTCTACTTGCTATATCATCTATCTTGAAGATGATTCCATATCAATTCATATAAATTGATCAGTCATTTAACTGCTGTTAAGGTACATTATGTTTTTATTTTCTATCTAGGCACCTCTAAAAATCACTGAATCATTGAAAACTTGGAAAGAATCACTTTTAGTCAGTGCACAAGAGTTTCTTGTATGTTTACATCATAATTTATGGATCCAAGACTTCATTTTTACACATTTCTGTAACACTTATCTGCTATACTAAACACTGTATGCTAAAAATTCTTTTGACATTTTGAATTATTTCCTATAAAATATCCATAATCAGTCTTTATGTTAATACTTTTGGTTATTTCCGTATTCTATAAGATTTAATTTTAAAAAAGAAAAGCTCTCTCCAGTGAATATTTTATATACTAAGACTCCTCAGTTATAAAAGAAACTTGAAATGAAGTATTCCCCCCATTTTAGCATTCTAGAATGTGGAAATTCAGCCACAGCTTTTATTTGTATTTATATTTGTCCAGAAACCATTTAAAATATTTTATTTCTTTTGTTTGACCGATGTAAATGAGTTCAGAAAGAACAGAGTCTCTATAATAAATACTTTCTCCATCTGGCTTCCAGGCCCAGGTTGGGGTTCCTGTCCCTGTGAACTTCCTGGATTCTTGGAGTAGGAACTTTAGCTCCTGTCTCAGGGACTACTTTTCACCCACCCTCCTGTCAGGATCAGATGCCTTTACTTTCACCCTCCAGATTCCTGATTCCTGGTCAACTAAACCCTCAGGTATATCCCACACTTGGTAAGTCAGTGCCATCAGCTGGGATGCCAAGTCAGTGCATGTGTTTCTAGAGAAGAGCTACACTGATGTAACTATGGAAATGGACCCTCTAGTTAATCAATGTCTTTCTGGAAATGGTTCAGTCTGGCAGCAAAAACATTCACCCTATTGTTACAAGCCAAGTTCAACCCCTCAAGATTTAAATCATAAAGAAATTGAGAAAAATGTTTCTGAAATTGAAAAATGAAAAGAAAAAATAAAATTAAGCATCATGGTAAATACAATCTTGCTTGTAGCAATTTTTAAATTCAAATCACGGATAATTGTCAAATTGACCTGCAGCCATTTCCATTCTATTTATCCATGCCGCCCCAACATCCTAGAAAAACTTCCATGTTTTTTAACTTAAAATTTGAAATAAATCAGAGACTCTAATCAGAAATTAGAGACTGGAAGTGAGACCCGGTCTGCAGAGGAGGAAATGGAGAAGTAAAGACAAGAGAGAAGAAAAGACAGGGGAGAAAACACGGGCAAATAAGGAGTGGAGAAAAGGGAGGAGTTGGAAAGAAGTGCTTTAAAACAACTTGCGGGATGGTTTTTTTGTTTTTTTGTTTTTTGTTTTTTGTTTTTTTCTCTCTTGATTGCTTGTTTGGCAATTTGGTTAGTTTCTTTTTTGTTTGATGTTTGGATTTATTTCTTCTTTACAAGGGTTTTTTATTTTGTTTAAAGGCCTGCAAGCTTTCAATTGATGGCAAACTGTAGATTTTCTTCCTCACAAAGCATTTCTGGTTCTCTTCACCTTCTTTGATTTCCAGGCTGTGCAGCTACACAGCACTGGCGGTTAATGTCAGAGTGTGGTGACGGCAGTAGCTTGCTGGTAAGAGTCAAATGAGGAGAACATGCATGTGTGGGCAGAGCTGCTCCGTGCAGAGCAGAGGCCAGCTGGCTTGCAGGGAAGTGGAGGCCTCGACCTGAGCCTCGTCTTGTTCTCTCTCTGTATATATTAAATAATTAAGTCAATATTCTTAGAAGTCAAGTTAAAAATGGCTTATAATTGGGACTTTTAAATAATGAAATAAATTTTATATTAAAAAGCAAGAATCGTGATGTTTTACTTTAAATAGCCCAAAATTTCCCACCAAAACTCAAAATGTAAGCCTCTGTAAATGGAGGCCCAGAGAAACTCTCATCCTGAGAGCAGCATGAGGGGTGCAGGGTAGGTAGTTGAAAAGGGGGGAATAGAAGCAGAAAGCATGGAGATCAACCCCAGTCTGCCTAATTTGACAAAGCATAGATTTGACAATTTTCTCAAAAACAGAATGTGCTGACTCAGTGATAATGATGTATGACCCTTCTCTATTGCATAGTGTACTTGTGAGAAAATCTCTCATGCCTCAGAGGATCCATCCTTCTCCTTACTCAGGCATAAAATGGAGATAATTGCTTCACCAAAGCTTTAAAGGAGTAATAGAAATAGAATACTTTGCAAACTGCTTTATTCTTTTTCATATGAAATCTCTAATTAGGGCATTGTTATTATAAATGCCATTTTATTTTATGATGATCTGATACAACTTTAATTTCTAATAAAACTTTGACATCATGAAGGAAGAAAATGGGTGCCTTCTCTGTCAATGAAATACTTAAAATTTTGAATTAGGTAAGATTTAGTACACATAAAGATTAAAGAGATTTCAAGAGAAATACTAGTCCTTAAAGTACCAAAAATGACCAAAATATTAATTGATTCCAATCAGGAAGATATGTTTCAAACCCGAAGTTATAAAATTGGAGAGATATAGATTTCTTCCAGTGGTACTTGTAAACTGAGATTTACCTATTCAGATGTAAAATATTTCATTTACAGTCACTCCTTTAATGTGCTGTTCATCCCTTGTTTAGCTACTCAGAGCTTTGAACAGCTATTTTGGAAACATTACCCTTCCCGAGAATCAGGTGGCCTAACAGCTTGCACCATGCACTCCCAATCTGCTGCTTTTTGATGTGTAAAGGATTTGATTCTTTTCTCTCTCAAGTATGAAACCTTAATTTTCATCAATGAGTCTTTTGACCCATAATATTTCTCTGCAATGTTTGAGACTATTAATAACCTCCTTTAAAAATAATTCTCTCTGATTTCTGGCTTTTCACAACATCTTATTCCAAGGTTCTCCTTTTCTCTTTTTTATTTCACACATTTTTAAAATAGCAGCTAGTGGCTCTAGGGGAGTGGGAAGAATATCATAAGATCTGCAGTGCAATTTCAGTTTTATTACTTACAAGCTGTCTCACTTTAGGCAGGTCATTTAGCCTCTGGTTCATTCTTCCTCTTACTCAGGCATAGAATGGAGATAATTGTTTTACCAAAGCTTTTAAGGAGTAATAGAAGCAGAATACTTTCTAAACCACAAAGTGATTTCAATCATAAGATATCATCTCTTGTTTTCCAACCTGGAGCCTTCCCCTTGACCCTATCTTCTCTCAAAGTTTCTATACTGATGGCAAATTTAAATTTTTGCCCTGACTTCTGTCCCTGTCTTCAGTCATCCTCCGCCTTGTCTAGATATTATGTATCCTCAAGGTCATAGGACTCTTTTTCATGTTCTTGCATATTTGAGACCAACCAGCACAAAACTAGGCAAGTTCTATCAGCTCACACGTAATTTGAATAAAACCTCAAATTTAGCACGTCACATTGAACTGCATCTCTTCAAAGCTAGATTTCTTTCCAAATTTCCCCATTTTTTGCGGCAGCCTCTGCCGCTGAATGCCAGTGAACTTACTGGAAAGAGGGAGGCTTTCACTCAGACACATCAGAGTGAGTAAGACCCCCTTCCCCTGTGCGCTGGACTGGACAGTCAATGACGGGTAAGATCGGGGGCAGACTAAAGAAGGCACTGGCCAGCCTCATGTCTGTGACTCCTGACGACCTAAGACAGGCGCAGTCCCCGAGGGGCTTCATCATGATAAACTTTGGCGTTCAGATCAAACAAGGCACACATGCCTATAAGCCTAATTTAGGCAACAAGCCCGCGGTAATTAACCCCTCCTTTGATGGAAACAAGGCTGCTAAGAACGTCACCTGCAAACAAGCCTGATGGAACTACCTACAAAGCAGTTTTACCATTAATCAGATAGCCATTGTTTCAGAATAAGTAGCAACCTAGCAACCTGTCTATAATCATACTACTTTTTCACTTACTTTGCTTTTTCTTTATATGT